CTGTGGCAGTGCCAAGAAGAATCTCCGCAGTATTGAAGGCAAAAGGTGGCCCAACGAAGTACTGATGGGTTGGTCATAATAATCTGGCCATTCACGTGTGTGTGTGTGTATGTATATATCCCACGTTCAAAGGCTGTTAAATTGCATTGTTTACCCATATCTTCAGAAAAAAATCACTTCTACTGTTATGGTAAACAACCTGCTTCCCTATTTATAATGGTCTGTCCCTCTAGCAACTTGAGCACGAAATTATAGCTAATTTGCCTACAAACGTCAGGTGGTCATAATAATCTGGCCACTCAGTGTATATTTGTACATACTTTCTTATGCACATTTGTGTTTCTGAGGTGGATTAAATCTCAAATAGTAGATTGTTGGGTCATAAGATGTGCTTCCCTGGTTTCTTCTAGGCTTTGGGACACTGCCAACTTCATGTAAACCTAACCAGTTCTTAGTCAACCTCCTTTCTGTGTTTGAATACTCCGTCCCCTTTGTTTTTTATATTCTCTACCACAAGTCAAATGAGCAGCAAATATTTAACCCACACATCTGAGTAGGCTGAGAAAAGCTTTGCTAATTTTTTAGTTATTTGTCCCCTAGAACCCAGGGATTTCAATATGGAGAGAGACTTGTTGATTATAACTAAAAATGATAATACTGTTAAACTTGATGCCTGTATTTACATAAGCGTAACTCTCCCTCTCTTCCTCTCCCTCTCTTCTTCTCTCTAAGCATGTCCTCGGGTTAGGATTAAAATAATAATAATAATAATAATAATAATAAAATTTATACATTTTTCTGATGAAATTAATAATCAGAAATCTCACTTTTTCCACCTTGTATATCTCATAAGAAAATAGTGATTTTGTGTCCAAACTAGTAACAATTTTCTACTTTAGTTGATGGAAGCTTCTCATTAGAAATGTCTGTTTTTTTGACTTCATATAACTAATGACAAAGGCTACTTGAAATAAAGAATGTCTCAGTGAAAAATCAGATGGAAAAATATACATCTGTAATGAGCTTTAGCCTTTGCATTTTATGAAATTGAAAATGACACTGTTCTGATGGAGTTGGCAGTCAGACAGAGGTAATGGTAATTTTAATTTATAGCTGAGGAGCTGTTATCTGGGGGAATGCTTTCTGAGCAGGACCACTAATTCTTGTCTCCTTTTTAGGAAGAGAGAAAGTTTTCAAAGACTGTGCAAGGGAAGGTGCAAAGCAGTTATCTGCACTCACTTCTGGAAATCGGGGAGCTGCTGAAAAAAAGACTTGAGACCACAAAGAAACTAAAAATTTAAGGAAGTGTGAACCATAGGCACTGATGACGCTATGGCAGAAAATATCATCTTCCCAGGCAAAAATCTTTATGGTTGACCATCATTTGAATCCAGAACTTCCTCATAAAATGCATGAAGGACTTTGATCGTGAATTAATTTTTTAGGTATTAAATGTATACAACTGATTAAATTATTGTACATATACCGGAAGCGGGACCCTCATCTGGGTTTGACCACTTTTTTATACATGTTCATATGCATATGGCAGCCACAAGAGAACCCCACTTTTCTCCTGCCCTTCTCTCACCAGAAACATCCGGTGGAGGAGGGTCCTATAAAAGCAGTGATAGAAATTAAGCATAAAGCGTCGATGTCAGAGCAGCTGAATGACCCTGCCAGTACAGCAGTGGACATTTTGGTCTGGTCTTTGAGCCCTTAGGAAGCAGAAAGGAGAAGTATAGGGGGACCATAACTGGGAGCAGCCCCTCTTTCCACATTAGCAGTTTGTTTTTGAGGCTTCTTCAGCTGCTTGGCTCCTGCAGAACCCAAGGCAGGTACCCAAAGGGCCTCAGATGAAATTTGGCATAAGCACCTGCCACTGAAGGGCACCACTCAGACAACTACAGGCGCTCATTTTCTGGCTGAATAGTCCTGTCGGTCAAGGCATCCCCATCCTAGCTCGGGTGAGAGTTCCATTGCCGACAGGCTTCTAAGGCTTCTGTTACCTTGCAGCTGTTGGAGGAGAAAGCAGTGCAGACCCTCATAAGCCTGCGAGGACTAGCTTGTCTTTCATCTCGTTGGGAAAGATGGGGATCACTTTTAAAGAAGAGAGTGTACATAACTTACGCAGGCAAGGGTGATGCCAATGTCATTGGTCTTGTGAGATATATGTATATGTATATGTAGATGCTTTACATATATATATATTTTCAAGCATATATATGGTGTATATATGTATAAGCATATATACACCATATATATGCTTGAAAATAAAGATATAAGACTTTAGTGTTGTTTTTTTAAGTGGGGGGTTTGAGAAGGAAGGAAGGAATGTATATTATGGACTTAACTTAGGCTTTAAGTTTTAGGTTGGCAAAGGAAATGTTTCTCGTTGGTTTGGAGGTTCAGTTTACTACAAACTTGAGAATTACACCAGGATGGCGTACGCGTTGTTCACCTGGAGCTCCTGAAGACGACAGCTTCTGAACTAGGTCTGACAGAAAAGATAAACATTGCTCTTGAAAATGTTATACAGTTTATATAATTCCTTTGGTAGCTTTTTTATATTTGAATCTGTGCTTCTGTTTTTGGTTGTTGTTACCTAAATACTGTTAAAGTTAGTAATTTTGTAAGAGCAAAGAAATGAATTTGATGAGGAAATTTAAGCACCTGGTGGAGGATTGGTCTTGAAGACCTTAAATGTCCTTTTCAACTCACTTCTGTGAAATGTGATACTTTTTTCTTCCAAAAGCAACTGAATGAGAGTTTGGAAAGTCTCTGTATGCAACACAATTGTATTTTGTCTCCTCATCGTGACTTTCTTAGACTTACAGTTTGATAGGGTGATTAATAACTGTTTAAACCCAAAGGAAATTTTTAAGAAAATTACTGCATTACTACATTACTCGTTTAAAATGAGACTTGTTGGAAATCTTAGTCCATCAAGTAATTTGAAAATACTGTTTTTGATGTCAGTTGGTAGCCACAGCTGTCACACCTCATCCCCAAAGGAAGAACTGATCAACAAGATGAATTGAAAATATTGATTCCAAATGTAATTTAATGACAACATATCATAATTTCATAAAACAATGGCCTGTTTAGATGGAATTTTGTGTGTGTATAGGGGGGTATGTGTGTATGGCATGTGTTTTTGAAATGTTTCTTTGAATATCCAAAAATACTGTACATAAACGTAGAAATGCTCTTTGAAACGTCTTCAACTGACCTTGATCAATCTAGCATGTGTGTGTTCAGTGGGCTGGCCTTGGTCCTCAGGGACAGTGTGTGACTCCAGTGTCTACCTAACTAGTCTCTTGCTTGGGACCTCTACTAAAAACTCAAACGGTGGGTTTTAGGGGCAATGTTAAGTCGAGGTTATATTTCCTTTGTTACTTGATTTTCCTACTAAACATAGCATTTCAATTAGAGCCAACCTCTTGCGTTTTGAGAAAATTGTAAAAAGAATGAAATTATGCAGAAATGGCCAATATCTTTTATTAATCTGTTCTTTTGGAAACTGTCATGCACTATAAATTGTGTACAGTTAAATATATATATATATATATATATATATTCTTACATGAGTAAAAAGCAACCTCTCCAGCAATCGTATGTCATTGGTATTTGAAGAGAATTCCTAAATAACCCGCTGCTGCTGCTGTTTTTTGGTTTGTATGGGTTTTTTGTTTTGTTTTTGTGTGGTAAATTGCTATTTAAAAAAGGAAAGGAGAAAAACACGACTACTGTTTACAGACTGAAAAATTACTGCTTTTTATACTACTGAGAATCCTAAGTTAAAACTCTCCAAAGCAAACATTTGGTTTAAATCATTTATCTGTGGATTAAAGGTAGATAAATTTTTAGTGTTCTCCAAACAATGAAAAATGTACAAATGCCTAGCTGTGTTGCCCATCAATTTTGTATATTTTCATAATTTTAATTGTTCAAATTGCATTATATTTTGCAATCACAATGTTCAATCTGGATTTGTCTTTCATTTTAACTTTTAATATAAAAAGGGGTTTCAATGTATCTATGGCCTTGTTATTGAAACTCTTCCTCCTTATTTGATGTGATTTATTAAAATGGGAAGTATATTCTTCCTTTTTCAGAATTAAGCATAGGAAAAGTACTTTAAACTGGATGGGTTAATTTATATAAACAACTTTAAGTTGGCATTTCTGCCTCGTTCATTTTTGTTCAGATTCCTAGAAGCTACCTTTTATTATTTTTGTCTACCTTTTAAATGGTATTAATTCACCTCAATTTTGTACTTAGTGTTACGTTCCTCAGCAAAATTGTAATATTTGTGAATTTAAAATTTATTTTCCAAGGCCATTAGTCTTTTTCTTTAAAAGTAGTGCATTGCATGCTAGCATTCAATAATTCAGTATATGTATATTGAGCACTTATTTTACTACATGCTACATTCCATTTTAGGCTCTGCTGATATAATAGTGAGACTGTATATCAGTGATGGCGAACCTATGACATGCGTGTCAAAGGTGACACACGAACTCATCTTTTTGGTTGATTTTTCTTTGTTAAATGGCATTTAAATATTTAAATAAATATCAAAAATATAAATCTTTGTTTTACTATGGTTGCAAATATCAAAAAATATATGTGACATGGCACCAGAGTTAAGTTAGGGTTTTTCAAAATGCTGACACGCCGAGCTCAAAAGGTTCGCCATCACTGCCATATATCCTAGTCAGTGGCTAAGGTGGGAAAAGTAACAAGAAATATTAGCTTATAATTAAGTTCTGTTTAATAAAATAAATCAGGGTATGTGATAAACTGGGTCTGAGAGGGTGCTTTGAGTGCCACCATCTGATTTGAATGAGGAAGAGTCAGCCATGGAAAAAGGAATGCAAGTGCAAAGGCCCCAAGGCATCAAACAGCTAAGCATGTTCCAGTGACTGGGGAAAAAAAGGGCCCAAGTAGCTGGGACTTAAAGGAAAGAGAGAGGTAGGGTTTGAGTAGAGGGGATGAGAGCAGTAAGGACTTTGAGGCCAGGGGAAGGAATGTGATTCCAAGTTTGGTGGGAAGTTAACTGGAGGCTTGCAGACACGTTGATGACATGACATCCAAGAGGACGTGAATCCATAGAGGAAGACCTAGTTTATTCTGCCGCACTGACACAGTGGAAAGGAGCTGTTTGTTTTTCCTCAACTTTCCTTTTTGTCTGTTCTGTGATTATTAAGTGCTCTTATTTGAGCACTGGTAAGTCAGTTTTTGCCTGCTTCCATCCCACTGTTATTTTCCTTTAGCAAAAGGTGAGGACTTGGATATACTTCAGTGCCATTTTTAACTTTTCCCAAAAGGTGGGCTCAGGGTTATATTTTTTTCATGTTACCTGTTTTTTAGATGCTATCACTGTTTAATGCAGACATGTACCAGTATGTCATACAAGGGGAGGTAAGCAACTGTAAGCCAAATACTTATAAAAATTATTTGTGGGATGTCTAACGTACTTTAGGAGTTTATGCTTCTGGAACACAGCTTTTTTGTAACTTCCAGCTTCCACATATCCCAGTTAAAGTGGGTCCCAGGTAAGGTATAATGAGAGAAGTAGTTATTGCATATGAGATTACTACTTAAGACCACCCAGTGGGGTAAGGGTTGAGTAAGATTCAAAATCTGAAGCTTGGATGAAATTAGCTAAAATCCAGACACACACACACACACTCACTCTCTCTCTCTCTCTCTCTCTCTCTCTCAACACACACACACCATCTCACATTCTTGGTCTTGATGGCCATGTTCAAATTCCCATTCTGTCTTAGTTCTCTACTGAATAACCAATCTTTCCTAATATGAATCTAATGCAATGTTTTGTGGCATCAAATGCCAAGGACTATTTGTAAATTTAAAATATTCTTAGCAATAATTGAGATAACTTGCAAGTTCCCTAGGATGGGATTGTTCGTGTTGGGTTCAAGGTTTCATTTGCTTCAGGTAATCTGGGAATTCCCTAAAAGTTATATATACACTCGCTTGATTCTGGGAAACCAGTCCATAGCCTTCATTACAGGTGAGCAGCTTGTGAGCCACATATTATTTAATGAGATGCTAAGAAGTAAAAGGAAGGAATCCATATTATTTAATTAAATGCTAAGTAGAAGGAAGTGCCAGGGAAGATTGGGTTTTATGTGGCATATGCAAATCAGTTCAAATTCTAAGCTAGAAACAAAGCCCATCTTTAGTGAAAAAGATTTGATACAAAGAGCCTCTGATGTATGATAACCTAGTCCTGTCCAACGGTCCGTGTTGCTTCAACTCATGGCTTATAATGATATCCATTGGACCCATCCAATGAAGTACACTGGAGGTGCTGCCACCTTTATTCCTCACATTGAGATGCAACCACATTCAGGGATGTTGGAAAACTTTAGTTTTAGAGTTCTGTCCCTACCAGTCATTTGTCATACTCTTATTTCCATAAGACAGTGAGTACTTAGTTCTTTGGGAACGACTGT